ACCCCTCAGATATATAGATCTATATTTCAGGACCTCCTTTCCTCCTGCTGGTGTAGTGCTATAGGGAATCAGGACCTCCTCCCTGTTGCTGGTGATCCCTCTAGTGATGCATCCTAGAATTCTATTCGCTTTTCCCACTACCTGGCCACACTTTTTGCAATTATCTGAAATCAGTATCCCTAAGTTCTTTTCCCGTGTAGTGCTGGCCAACACTGTACCCCCAATGTTGTACTCTCTCAAGGGATTCTTTTTCCCTAGGTGCATTATTTTACATTTAGAAACACTGAACTGCAATCCACATTATTAATTAATACAACCGGAAATCTATAGATTGTTCTGGCCCACAGCCGTAGCCATGGCACATGGCCATACATTAGAGAAACCCACAGGCAGGCGTATTTTTCAAATTTTATGTTCTGAAAAATACACCCATACACATGAAACTGCAAGTGTCAGCAGTTACGCACATTATAGCTGTGTATTCTGCAATACATGTCAGTGGGCTGAATTACACTGCATCTGTGGCTTTGGGGTTCCACAACAACCAGTATATTCTATTCTGTATGCCCATATGCCCTAATGTACGGCCACAAGCCTTAGATGCAGAAAAGCAAAAGTTGAACTACACAAGCCTTTAATTCCTCACACAGGACAGTTAAGATCCGTTTACACTTCTACGCCATGATAACACTCAGTACCTGCGTTATTGCTATGCAGTGCCAATCAGCTTCAATGCCTCCCCACTAAGGCAATGCATTGTAGCATGCCGTGATGCACAGCAACGCATGGTAACGCACTGCAATGCATTGCATGACAAAAACAGGGTCATGTGTAACTTTTACCATGTTGGCAGCCCATTCATTTTCATTGGACTGCCTTGATGCAACAGAAACTAACACGCAACATAACACTGGTTAATGGATGGGTCCTTAGGGATAGGAAGTTAGTAGCAGAGAGTTTTTCATTAAAAAAAAAAAAAAAAAACAGAATCCAAACTAACAATAAACAATTTTCTCTAGACAGAAGAAAGCTGTGTAGATAAATGATCAGAGATAGACCAATATATATATATGGGCAGCACAGTGGCTAAATGGTTAGCACTTCCACCTGGCAGTACTAGGGTCATTGGTTTGAATCCCAACCTGCCTGGGGTTTGCATGTTCTTCCTGTTCCTGTGTGTGTTTCCTCCAGGTACTCCGGTTTCCTCCCACACTCCAAAGACATGCTTGGAGGTGAATTGGCTCCTGTCTAAATTGTCCTAGTATGTGTATGTATGAATGTGAGTTAGGGACCTTAGATTGTACACCCCTTGAGGGTTAGGGACCTTAGATTGTACACCCCTTGAGGGTTAGGGACCTTAGATTGTGCCCCTTGAGGGTTAGGGACCTAGATTGTACGCCCCTTGAGGGTTAGGGACCTTAGATTGTACGCCCCTTGAGGGTTAGGGACCTTAGATTGTACGCCCCTTGAGGGTTAGGGACCTTAGACCCCTTGAGGGTTAGGGACCTTAGATTGTACGCCCCTTGAGGGTTAGGGACCTTAGATTGTACGCCCCTTGAGGGTTAGGGACCTTAGATTGTACGCCCCTTGAGGGTTAGGGACCTTAGATTGTACGCCCCTTGAGGGTTAGGGACCTTAGATTGTACACCCCTTGAGGGTTAGGGACCTTAGATTGTACACCCCTTGAGGGTTAGGGACCTTAGATTGTACACCCCTTGAGGTTAGGGACCTTAGATTGTATTCCCCTTGAGGGTTAGGGACCTTAGATTGTACGCCCCTTGAGGGTTAGGGACCTTAGATTGTACAGGGTCAGGGACTGATGTGAATGTACAATATATATGTAAAGCGCTGTATAAATTGATGGTGCTATATAAGTACCTGAAATAAATAAATATAGTTATAAATACAAAATTATTAATAATAAATGCATAATTTATATTGGCAAGCATTACGTGTGTTTATTATGTGAATTTACTCTTTTCCACTAATTTTATTTTACTTTCCCCTAGGTCCTGATTCCAGCCGTTCACATCCAGGCGACAGGACGGCAAGGATGCTGCAACAACCGCTGTGGGGTATGTTCCTGATTGGATGTTGCTTACACATAGCAGGGCCTAATTGTATTGCTTTTTTTTGATGAAAATGTAGGGCTCAATCACATAGACAGTCAAGGCAAGAGGAAGGAGGGCCATCTGAAGTGTAGCTTTAAATCTGAACTCCAGGCAAACAGCTAAACACTCAGATTATATATAATCTCCTCGCACGACCTCCTGCTCTCTAGCTCCCTTGTCTCCTCCTCCCATGCTTGTCTCCAGGACTTCTCCAGAGCTTCTCCCATCCTCTGGAACTCTCTACCCCAATTTGTTAGACTATCGCCTATTCTGCTCACTTTTAGGTGATCTCTGAAAACCTATCTCTTCAGGGAAGCCTATCCTGTCCTCAGCTAATAATGGAATCTTCTACTCCTCCTACCAGTCCATCCCCCACAGTTACTACCTTTTTATTACCATTAACAATAACATATAAAGCCATTTATAACTCTGCCCCAAATTATATCACCAATCTTGTCTCCAAATATCACCCAAACCGTACTCTCCGCTCCTCGCACGACCTCCTGCTCTCTAACTCCCTTGGCTCCTCTCCCATGCTCTGTCTCCAGGATTTCCCCCATCCTCTAGAACTCTCTACCCCAATTTATCAATACTATCGCCTACTCTGCTCACTTTTAGGCGTTATGAAAAGCAGCTAATAATGGAATCTTCTACTCCTCCTACCAGTCCATCCCCCACAGTTACTACCTTTTGTACCACTATAAATCCTTCCTCTTAGATTGTAAGCTCCCAGGATCAGGGCCCTCCTATCCCTCTTGTATTGAACTGTATTGTTGCTGTATTAAATCCTGTTATATAATGTAAAGCGCTGAGCAAAATGTTGGTGCTATAAATCCTGTATTATAATAATAATAAAAATAACAATAATCATTTATATATATATATATATGAGCCGGTTCACCTGCCAAAGAACTTGCATTTGTGTCAATCCAGTCTTGAAAGTCACACAGCTCTGCCACACAGCACTGTGCCATCTGGTGGAGCAGAAGACCTAATTTTTCTCGGCTACAGTTCAGGTCTTGTCTCTCCACCATCCCATGACTGGATAGCGAAAGGAAAAGCAGCGGAGTGATGAGCTCATCTCTCTCACTCTGCTCTCTTCTTCTATTCAGCATGTTCCTTGTTAGCTCATGAGCATTGACCACAAATGATTGGCTCCTTGTGCCGCTTCTCCCTCTCCCAGTCTGAGCTTTGCTGTACAGGGATTGCAAGAGGCTGATACCAGGTCAAATTCAGCAACCTACACCACACTTGTATATCTGGGGTTCAGCTTTAAGTAGCATGATGACATTTTGGGGGCTCTATGCTACAGCAACCAATCAAAAAGCAGGTCACTGGAGATGGATAACTGAAATATTAATGGCTGCTTTGGGTTACCCCCCCCCCCTCCCCAGGCTTTCATACTGATCCCCTGGCTTCAATAATTACCAGACACTCGTTGGAGCTCTTGTTTCAGGTCAGGTGTTCAGAAAACTAGCATTTCGAGCAACAGGTCAGAAATGGCAATCCTTCTCCTCCTCTCAGCATTGGTGTGCTTTATGATATATTAAAGCTGCACTCCGGGCTAACAAAAAAAATAAATAAAAGAAGGGAAATTTGAAGCATCTGAACAAAGTCCTGTTTGCCTGGCAACAGATGAAATATATGTTATGCTAGTGAGATTAAAAAGTCACTTGACCATCTGCAATATAATTATCTTATCTTGTGTGCAATAATGGAGGCAGGTAAAGTCATCTAACCATGTCTGGGTCATTCCGGCTCTCCTCACCGCTGCATGGGCTCCCCCTGCTGGATAAAAGTGAGCACAGCACGGGGTGGGGTGACTACTTTGTCTGAGAGGTAGAGCTGGGGACTCCAGTAGAATCATCCCAAGCCATACAAGGCAGTTGCAGGGGTGGACTGACCATTTGGAAACTCGGGCACTGTAGGGGGCCCCATGAGATGCCCCTGGTACCTTTTTCATAGGCTTTTTTGAGTTTGGGCAAGGACACAGGGGCCCCATGATCCAGTATTGCCCGGGGGCCCCATGAGTTGTCAGTCCGCCCCTAGGCAGTTTGTGTGGTTCTTCTAGCCAGACGCATAAAAACAAAGATCCAGGACCTTCCAAGGGGAAAACCCATGCGTCCGTAGATGTACCGAGGGTCTCAGCAAGGTCCTAAAGGCTGGCCAGAGCCCTTCAGCACATCTGCACACGTGTGGAATTCTCACAGCAGAAAGGAGGAAGTGCTGTCCAGCACACAAAAAAAAATCAAAAGCAATAGTAGGGGGGAGAGAAGGCTGGAGCCATTTTTGAAGATCTGCTTTAAGATAAAAAAACTTTTTTTTTTTTTTTTACTGTCATCAATACTATTTAAAAAAAAACAATTATTAATAATTAAAAGTAGAGAAAAATAAAAGCAGCAGGAAAATAACCATTAAGGGGAGAAGGGGAAGGAGGAGTTGAATAGGAATGATTAGGGTAAACGAAGAGTTAAACCTTTTATTTTTCACTTGTTAAGGGTCTTTAACTGACATTTTATGCAGAATGAAGCTCACCCTATTTATCTGCATATGAATGAAACAGTATTAATAAAAAAAAGGTTTTAATGTTACTTTGTAACTTTTTTGTCTAGGGTCAATAGGATATTTACAAATACTGTGTCAAACTGCCGATTTGTGACAATAGCAGCTTTTGCTTTACAGCTCATTTACACAACTCCTGACTGTCATTTTGACAGTTGGGAAATGCTAGTAAGTGCAAGGGAGAGGGGAAGCAAAGGGACAGAAGGACAGGACATGCTACACACGTTCTCTGTACATCTATGATATTATTTTGAAAGTGTGTAGCATGTCCAGTGTCTCCACAACTGATTGAATTGTATGTCATGCCAGGGTACTAGGTGTAATCCTGGACTCCCATCTGTCCTTCACCCCCAAATCCAATCCCTGTCCAAATCTTGTAGACTTCACCTCCGCAACATCTCCAACCTCCGCAACATCTCCAACCTCCGCAACATCTCCAAGATACGCCCGTTCCTAACCTCGGAAACTACTAAGCAATTCATTCACTCCCTGGCTATCTCTCGCCTTGATTATTGTAACTCCCTCCTCATTGGCCGACCTCTTCGCAGGCTATCACCTCTTCAATCTATCATGAATACTGCTGCCAGACTCATCCACCTTACTAACCGTTCCATATCTGCCATCCCTCTCCGCCAATCCCTCCTCTGGCCTCCACTCAATGTCCTCCACCCCTCTCTGCCAATCCCTCCACTGGCCTCCACTCAGTGTCCTCCATCCCCTCTCAGCCAATCCCCTCCACTCAGTGTCCCCCATCCCTCTCTGCCAATCCCTCCACTGACCTCCACTCAGTGTCGTCCACCCCTCTCTGCCAATCCCTCCACTGACCTCCACTCAGTGTCCTCCATCCCTCTCTGCCAATCCCTCCACTGGCCTCCACTCAGTGTCCTCCATCCCTCTCTGCCAATCCCTCCACTGGCCTCCACTCAGTGTCCTCCATCCCTCTCTGCCAATCCCTCCACTGGCCTCCACGCAGTGTCCCATCCCTCTCTGCCAATCCCTCCACTGGCCTCCACTCAGTGTCCTTCATCCCTCTCTGCCAATCCCTCCACTGACCTCCACTCAGTGTCCTCCATCCCTTTCTGCCAATCCCCCCATTGGCCTCCACTCAGTGTCCTCCATCCCTTTCTGCCAATCCCTCCACTGACCTCCACTCAGTGTCCTCCACCTCTCTCTGCCAATCCCTCCACTGGCTTCCCATTGCCCAACGGATAAAATTCAAAACATTAACAATAACATATAAAGCCATTTATAACTCCGCCCCAAATTATATCACCAATCTTGTCTCCAAATATCACCCAAACCGTACTCTCCGCTCCTCGCACGACCTCCTGCTCTCTAACTCCCTTGTCTCCTCCTCCCATGCTCATCTCCAGGACTTTTACAGAGCTTCCCCCATCCTCTGGAACTCTCTACTCCAATTTATCAGACTATCACCTACTCTGCTCACTTTTAGGCGCTCTGAAAATCAGTTAATAATGTAATCTTCTATTCCTCCTACCAGTCCATCCCCCACAGTTTCTATCTTTTCTACCACTAGCCCCTCCCTGTTAGATTGTAAGCCCCCTAGGAGCAGGGCCCTCCTAACCCTCTTGTATTGAACTGTATTGTTGCTGTATTGTCTCCCGTTATGTTGTAAAGCGCTGAGCAAACTGTCGGCGCTATATAAGTCAGAGGGTTATTTCAGGTCAGGGCTGAGAGGCTCTGCAGGTCAGTTCCTTGACACCTCCCTCTGCTCTAGAGATCTTAGAAAAGATTCTGGAAGCAGTGGGCAGGGGCGAGGAGGAGCTGGCCTGCACACTTAGGGGACCCTGGCCAAGCAGGAGGCCTGGCATGGGGTCAAAGCAGCCCTTAAATGTGAAAGAGCCTGCTCAGCAGCAGGAAAGTTCAGGTGGAAGATGAAGTGAGAGGCTGGAGAGCAGGAGCCTTGGAGAGGGCCCAGATGGGAAGGGGCTCACCTACATACAGCAGAGCTGAGAAGGAAGAAACCTAAGTAACTATTGGCCCACAGGCGAGGACCATCTGTGCAGCAGGGAAGAAGCAGCCCAGCAGAAGGCCTGAGAGCAACAACCTATCAGCTCACAGGCAGAGGACTGGTGAGTAGACCTGCACCCCTGGGCCAGAAATGGAAAGGAGCACTCTAATGGGTAACTGAATTAACTTGCTACCCGGGCTGTCCTTTATTTAAAGTGACAGGCACTGGATTCCCTGCCCAGGGATTCTTTCAGATAGCTGGATACAGGAGTATCTGGGGTCTGCAGTGGTACACCAGGAGATGCTGGCTAGCTCTCCAAGAAGAGAATTTTTGCTGTTAAAGAGACTTGTGCATAGTTCCAGGAAGATTGTCCTCAGTTGCCTTTCCCTTGGTCATCCCATACACCCCTTACTCCACCCAAGTTCAAGTTTTTCAATGTATTTTAAATATTTTTCATCTATTTTGTAATAAAAAACGCATTTCAACATGCAGTGTGTGTGTATATATATATATATATATATATATATATATATATATATATATATATATATATTTATTTATTGAAATATATTATATATATTGAATACGGCCAAAATTGTAGCATTTCAAATATATGTCAATATATTTGGGAAGAGTATTTTTAAAATATATTTCAATATATATTTTTCTTCCATATGGGTTATTAAATGAATATTATACTATGCAGCAATGTTCCATACCTTTCTATAATATCATTTTATGCTATACTACTATGCAGTCTGCATTATTGAATTATTTTGTATTTTATTATATTATTTAACATTTCGCTGGATTTTCCAACAATACTGATAAAAAGGGAAAAGCAGAGAAGATTTCAATTTGTTAATCTTAATAATAATCTAAGCTCTCCCTTCTCTCAAAACTACCCAAAAAATGTTTTGTCTGGAGTTAAAGTTTAAAGTCATAACATTGAAGATTTCAATTGGTGCATGACATATTTCCCCCCTTTTCTCCTGCAGATGTTCCTGTCAATCATCTTTGCTGCTATTGGCGTGGCTGGATCACTGTACGGTTTTGTGGTATCCATTGTGGGCATGGCGAAAGGACCAGTATGCCAGTACCGGACTCTCCTAAACCTTACTCAGCTCAAATGGGGCCGGCCCTTTGACTCTGAGCTAGAAGATTTCAGGTAAGACCTGCCAATAAATTGAACCTAAAAGAAGCACCAGTTTTATGGAAAGGCCTTCCTTTCCTACCCAAAAAACCTTATTTGCAATGCAGCTCTTTGTGGTGACCCTAAGTCTTTTAGTTGAACTCTATGTAATTATTGGAGCCCGTTTGGATCAAAAGTCCTGACTGTATGTGGGTCCTCAACTCCAACCCAAGACATTTATTTGTTCCCTATGACCATCTGTGAAGTTTCATAGCCTCTATTGCCCACTGTAGTTCTGCCAATTAACATCTGGAGATCTGGGAAGGGGGAATGCTGTAAGCGAGATCTCATGATAAGCAGAAGCTGATGCTCCACAGGTTCATGGATTGATCTAAAGACCGTATGGGTTCTTACAGACAGAGAAATATGCAACCCTTCAGCACTCTTGTTACTTTACTTTGGGCCAGGTGACTTGTCTGCAACACTCTTATGGTAAAAGCAGTAACAACAATGTAGCACTTTGAGGCAAATGAACCCTTTGCCATTTTTGTAGTGCCTTCGGATCCAAAGTCTTGAGTGTACATGGAACCTCAACTTCAGCACAAATCAATTAGAGGTTCCATATGACCAACTATCAAGTTCCGTGGCCTCTAGTACCCACTGAAGTTCTGTCAATTAACATTTGAATACCAGGGAGAGGGTAGGGGGGGGTCGTAGAATGCTGGAGGTGAGACTTAGTTTCATGAGGAGCAGAAGTTGAGGCTTCACCTAGGCTTTATTTGAAGACTGTCATGCAACCCTTGAGCACTCTTCTTACCTTTTATTGTAGGCCAGGACATCTTGAACATTTGTTGACTTAAAGAGTAGGCATTAGTTATATTAGAAATCTCATTTTTAGTGGCAGGCAGGATAGCAGCCTGGAACCTTTTGTGACACACAAGACTGTGTTACTGGCAATCAGAAATATGATGTGTTGGGGGGCTGTGTAACATTTTGCCATCCGAAGCTGCAAACTTTGTTGCCAACTGTTATTACAAAGAAGATATGGAGCATGTGCCCTGGCTGCCCATGTCCAGTAATACCTCTGCTAGACAGGTAGACAGCCTCCTCACTTTTCAAGGCTTCATTTCAATGTTGTGTGTAGTGATCCTTCAACCATGGTTACTTCTAAACACGAGGAAGACCCCACAATGGGTTAGCAGGGTTAGAACCAGGGGTGGACTGACAACTCATGGGGCCCCCGGGCAAGAGGGGATCATGGGGCCCCTGTGTCCTTACCCGAACTCAAAAAAGCCTATGAAAAAGGTACCAGGGGCATCTCATGGGGCCCCCTACTGACCCCGGGCCCTCGGGCAGTGCCAGAGTTTCCAAATGGTCAGTCCACCCCTGGTTAGGACTCTTTACCATGTTAACTCCAACCAGCTGTACCCCTGAACCGTGAAAGTTTTTAGGAACAACACCTCTTAAGGTGGAAAAGGAACTCTTTCAGTGCTGCCCATACTTAGCAAAGTCACTTTTTTTAAGAAGTAGGATAACATTTGTTGTTTTCCTTCTCTCCTGCAGCAATGACAATTACCTGTTCAACACAGATATCTGGAGCACCTGCGTCTACCCCGAGGGAGTGGTGGTTTTCAATGTCGTCCTGTTCTCCCTTGTGCTGTTTTGCCACTGGCGTCTCTCTCATCCTCTGTACCATCCAGGTCTTGAACGGGCTGTTCGGCTGCCTCTGCGGAACTTGCCGGGATAAAAGTGACTTGGACTAACCGCTAGTTCAGGTATGACTGTTACTCACGATTAAAGGAACTCTAAACAAATCACCTGCTGTCTAAAAATACTAGGTGCCAAGCTATCAATCTAAGGTTTAGGGGTTCCTGGAGCTGTGGCTGATTGACACCTTGTCTGATGGAGCCTGCACAGTCCAATGCCACTTGGCAAATCCAGCAACCTGAAATGAATTATCTTCTTTGCTGTCTGTAAGGGTAGCATTTTGACTACCGCTGTGCCACTGGTTTATTCTTTCTATTGACTGCCAATGCATAAGGCATTTTCCCATTGCTCCAAGATGAATTGATTTAAGTAAGAGTTCCATAAAACCTGAAAATTATTTTTATATTATAGTTTATTATATTTATTTAAAGGGGGTCCTTTGGGGTAAAGAGGCTGAGAAAAGCTGTTCAAAGCATTGAAGACATTGGATTAGGATTATAACCTGGGAACTAATATTCTCAAAAGGGAAGGCCAACAATGGCCGCCTCTAATGACAAGGTGTACTTTAACTGCAACTGTCTTCAAAAACCACTGTAGCTGTAACTGGCTGCAAATGACGCAGTGAATATGGAGGGCGATGCAGAACAGAACACAAGGTAACACAACACAACTGAACAGAACACAAGGAACACAACATAACTGAACAGAACAAGGAACACAACATAACTGAACAGAAACAAGGAACACAACATGAACAGAACACAAGGTAACACAACACAACTGAACAGAACACAAGGGTAAACACAACATAACTGAACATAACGCAAGGTAACACAACATAACACAACAGAACACAAGGTAACACAACACAAACTGAACAGAACACAAGGTAAACACAACATAACTGAACAGAACACAAGGAACACAACATAAACACAACAGAACACAAGGTAACACAACGTAACAACTACAACGAAAGAACACAAGGTAACACAACATAACACAACAGAACAAGGTAACAACACAACTGAACAGAACACAAGGTAACACAACACAACTGAACAGAACACAAGGAACACAACAAACTGAACAGAACACAAAGGTAACAACATAACTGAACAGAACACAAGGTAACACAACATAATAACAACAGAAACAAGGTAACACAAAATAACTGAACATAACACAAGGTAAACAACAAACTGAACAGAACACAAGGTAACACAAAATAACTGAACAGAACACAAGGTAACACAACATAACTGAACAGAACACAAGGTAACACAACACAACTGAACAAAAAACACAAAGGTAACACAACATAACTGAACAGAACACAAGGTAACACAACATAAAAACAGAACACAAGGTAAACAACAAAAAACAAAAAAGGTAACACAAAAACAACTGAACAGAACACAAGGTAACACAAAATAAAACAGAAAACAAGGTAACACAACAACTGAAAACAAACACAAAAAAACATAACACAAGGTGAACAGAACACAAACAGAACACAAGGTAACACACAACATAACTGAACAGAACACAAGGTAACACAACAAACTGAACAAAACAAAAAAACAAAAACAAAAAAACACAAATAACAAGAACACAAGGTAACACAACAAACTGAAAGAAACAACAACAACATAACTGAACAAACACAAGGTAACAAAACAATAACTGAACAAACACAAGGACAAACAACACAACACAAATAACACAACATAAAAAGAAACAAAGGTAACACAACATAACTGAAAGAAAAAAACAACACAACAAACAAAAACAGAACACAACACAAAACAACAGGTAACACAACATAAACAAACAAGGTAACAAAACTGAAACAGAACACAAGGTAACAACAAACACAACACAACAGAACAGAACAAGGTAAACAACAACAAAAAAGAAAACAATAACAAACAACAAAACAACAAACAATAACAAAACAGAACGAACAAGGTAACACAAAATAAAAACAGAACAAAGGTAACAACATAACAAAACACAAAAACAACATAACTGAACAGAACACAAGGTAACACAACATAACTGAACAGAACACAAGGTAACACAACATAACTGAACAGAACACAAGGTAACACAACATAACTGAACAGAACACAAGGAACACAAAGGTAACAAACACAAGGAAAACACAACTGAACAACACAAGGTAACAAACACAACAAACTAAACAAGAACTGAACATAACAAGGTAACACAACATAACTGAACAGAAACACAAGGTAACACAACATAACTGAACAGAACACAAGGTAACACAACATAACTGAACAGAACACAAGGTAACACAACATAACTGAACAGAACACAAGGTAACACAACAACAAATAAACAGAACACAACAAGGTAACACAAAAAAACAACCACAACTGAACAGAACACAAGGTGAACAGAACACACAACAACATAACTGAACAGAACACAAGGTAACACAACATAACTGAACAAACACAAGGTAACAAACAAACACAAACACATAAAACAAAAAAGGTAACAACATAAAAAAAGAAAACAAGCAAACACAACAAAACTGAACAAAACACATGAAGGTAACAAAACAAACTGAACAGAACACAAGGTAAACAAAATAAAAACAGAACACAAGGTAACACAACATAACTGAACAGAACACAAGGTAACACAAACAAACTGAACAAACACAAACACAACAAACTGAAACAAACACAAACAGAACTGAAAACACAAAAAACAACATAACTGAACAGAAACAGGTAAACAAAACAACTACAACTGAACAGAACAAAAGGTACACAACATAAAACAGAAAACAAGGTAACACAACACAACTGAACAGAACACAAGGTAACACAACACAACTGAACAAACAGAAACAACATAACTGAACAACACAAGGTAAACAAAACATAACTGAACAGAACACAAGGTAACACAACACAAACTGAACAAAACAAGGGTAACACAACATAACTGAACAGAAAACACAAGGTAACAAACACAACTGAACAGAACACAAGGTAACAAACAAACTGAACAAACACAAGGTAACACAACATAAAACTGAACAGAACACAAGGTAACACAACATAACTGAACAGAACACAAGGTAACACAACATAACTGAACAGAACACAAGGTAACACAACATAACTGAACAGAACACAAGGTAACACAACATAACTGAACAGAACACAAGGTAACACAACATAACTGAACAGAACACAAGGTAACACAACACAAAACAGAACAAAGGTAACACAACATAACTGAACAGAACACAAGGTAACACAACATAACTGAACAGAACAAGGTAAAACAACATAAACACAACACAAAAAACAAACACAAGGTAACACAAGGTAACACACAACTGAACAGAACACAAGGTAACACAACATAAAAAACAGAAACACAAGGTAACACAACATAACTGAACAGAACACAAGGTAACACAACATAACTGAACAGAACACAAGGTAACACAACATAACTGAACAGAACACAAGGTAACACAAAAACACAACTGAAACAGTAACACAAAAAAACACAACAACAAAGGTAACACAACACAGAACACACAGAAACAAGGTAACACAACATAACTGAACAGAACACAAGGTAACACAAAATAACTGAACAGAAACACAAAAAACAACACAACTGAACAGAACACAAGGTAACACAACACAAAACAGAACACAAGAACACACAAGTAACACAAGGTAACACAACATAACTGAACAGAACACAAGGTAAACACAACAAACAACAGAAACAAGGAACACAACAAAAACATAACACAACTGAACACAACATAACACAACACAAACACAACATAACTGAACAGAAAACACAAGGTAACACAACATAACTGAACAGAACACAAGGTAACACAACATAACTGAACAGAACACAAGGTAACAACATAACTGAACATAACACAAGGTAACACAACATAACAAAAAAACAGAACACAAGGTAACACAACACAACTGAACAGAAACACAAGGTAACACAACATAACTGAACAGAACACAAGGTAACACAACATAACTGAACAGAACACAAGGTAACACAACATAACTGAACAGAACACAAGGTAACACAACATAACTGAACAGAACACAAGGTAACACAACATAACTGAACAGAACACAAGGTAACACAACACAACTGAACAGAAACACAAGGTAAAACAACACAACTGAACAGAACACAAGGTAAACAACAACACAACTGAACAGAACACAAGGTAACACAACATAACACAACAGAACACAAGGTAACACAACATAACTGAACAGAACACAAGGTAACACAACATAACTGAACAGAACACAAGGTAAACCAACATAACTGAACAGAACACAAGGTAACACAACATACAACTGAACAGAACACAAGGTAACACAACACAACTGAACAGAACACAAGGTAAACACACAAACTGAACAGAACACTGGTAACGCAACATAACTGAA